GAAGCGTTTCCACTGCGTTCCTCTCCAAAGTTTATTTTCAGAGTCTGAACTGAAAATCCAGGTAAACCAGGTCCGCAGTGATATTTTACTGAAACGCTACAGTAATTGTTTTGTACAAACTGGATCGATCGGTTTTGCGCACGGACGCTCCAATGGTTTCCACCACATGACAAAATACTTGCGTCTGTGCTGTCCTTCTTATGGCTGCAGTGCGCGCACAGGTGAGGACATGAAAGGAATTATCGATGATGGTGAGGTCCGCGCGCTGGGACGGCCTCCTGGTGGCGGGGAAAATATCCCTCATAGAACGTATTATTGTTCTCTTCTCTTCTTCTCTATTATTGCCCACCGACAAAAGGTTATTAAAGATTGCATTATCACTTGTTGGTGTGTAGATACGACTTTTAGATTGACATGATAACAAGTACTTCTGACACAAATGAATATAGTGTAACTTCTTATTTTGACAGCTGTCAGAGTGATTACAGTTAGATTTATTTTCATCAGAAGATTGCATTATTTGTCCTAGGTGCCATACATTAAGATATGTAATCTCATTATCACCGAAACAGCATATACAATGACCAGATACATCAGCACAAATAGGCTACTCTTCAAATCTAATGTGTGGTAATGATCATACAACTGGGACAGCATTTTGTCCCATTGGTGCATGATTATTTATACTGATCTACCTGGAGGCCATGAGATCAAGACTATCTTAGTTAATCATAATCGACAGAACTTAAAAAGCCTAAATATACTGTAACATAGCTCTGCACAGGCTGGCCTAGACATGTGTCAGCAATGGCATCAATAATGTCTAGGCCTCTCTCACTCACTCTCTCTGACACAGTGAGTGACCTCAGTTTACCATGTGGGGGGTGAGAAAGTCTACCTTGGGGGAAGGATAGTATTTCTCCCCTCCCCCGCAGCATTTAGAAACACAAACAGAATCTCTGTTTTTCTGGAGACAGACAGAGCCACACAGAAGGTGGTCTAAGAGGAAACAGTCTGGCTATTTACCTGCTGGGATAAACATTTCTGTGGATCGTTGTCTTGAAAGTTAGTGACAATGTGAATTGTTTCAGATGGGTGAGTTTGTTGGTCTGTGTTTTGCCTGGGCAATGTCTCAATGCCCTTGTATATAACATTTCTGGAATCTTTTTTTTCAGCTCAGGAAAAATGGGACCAACACTTTACATATTTTTGTTCTATATACAGTACCATTCAAAAGTTTGGACACACCAAATCATTTTCTTTATTTTTTCTATTTTCTACATTGTAGAATAATAGTGAAGACATCAAAACTATGAAATAACACATTTGGAATCATGTAGTAACCAAAAAAGTGTTAAACAAATCAAAATATATTCTTCAAATAGCCACCCTTTGCCTTGATGACAGCTTTGCACAATCTTGGCATTCTCTCAATCAGCTTTTCCAACAGTCTTGAAGGAGTTCCCACATATGCTGTGCACTTGTTGGCTGCTTTTCCTTCACTCTGTGGTCCGACTCATCCCAAACCATCTCAATTGGGTTGAGGTCAGGGGATTGTGGAGGCCAGGTCATCTGATACAGCACTCCATCACTCTCCTTCTTGGTCAAATAGCCCTTACACAGCCTGAAGGTGTGTTGGGTCATTGTCCTGTTAAAAAACAAATGATAGTCCCACTAAGACCAAACCAAACCACTAAGACCAAACCAGATGGGATGGCGTATCATGCTGTGGTAGCCATGCTGGTTAAGTGTTCCTTGAATTTTAAATAAATCACAGACAGTGTCACCAGCAAAGCACCCCCACACCATAACACCTCCTCCTCCATGCTTAACGGTGGGAAAAACACATGCGGAGACCATCTGTTCACCCACACCGCGTCTCACAAAGCCATGGCGGTTGGAACCAAAAATCTCAAATTAGGACTCCAGACCAAAGGACACATTTCCACCGGTCTAATGTCCATCGTGTTTCTTGGCCCAAGCAAGTCTCTTCTTCTTATTGATGTCCTTTAGTAGTGGTTTCTTTGCAGCAATTCGACCCTGAAGGCCTGATTCACATAGTCTCCTCTGAACAGTTGATGTTGAGATGTGTCTGTGACTTGAACTCTGTGAAGCATTTATTTGGGCTGCAATTTCTGAGGCTGGTAACTCTAATGAACTTATCCTCTGCAGCAGAGGTAACTCTGAAATGCATTCCAGGTGACTATCTTATGAAGCTGGTTGAGAGAATGTCAAGAGTGTGCAAAGCTGTCATCAAGGCAAAGGGTGGGTCAAGTTGGCTGGATGTCCTTTGGGTGGACCATTCTTGATACACACTGGAAACTGCTGAGCATGAAAAACCTAGCAGCGTTGCAGTTCTTGACACACTCAAACCGGTTGCTCCTGGCACCTACTACCATACCCTGTTCAAAGGCACTTAAATATTTTGCCTCGCCCATTCACCCTCTGAATAGCACACATACACAATCCATATCTCAATTATCTCAAGGCTTAAAAATCCGTCTTTAACCTGTATTCTCCCCCTATTCTATACTGATTGAAGTGGACTTAACAAGTGACATCAATAAGGGATAATATATTTCACCTGGATTCACCTGGTCAGTCTGTGTCATGGAAAGAGCAAGTGTTCCTAACGTTTTGTACGCTCAGTGGTCGTGGTCAAAAGTTTTGAGAATGACACAAATACTAATTTTCACAAAGTCTGCTGCCTCAGTTTTGATGATGGCAATTTGCATATACTCCAGAATGTCATGAAGAGTGATCAGATGAATTGCAATTAATTGCAATGTCCCTCTTTGCCATGAAAATGAACTTAATCCCCCAAAAACATTTCCACTGCGTTTCAGCCCTGCCACAAAAGGACCAGCTGCCATCATGTCAGTGATTCTCTCATTAACACAGGTGAGAGTGTTGACGAGGACAAGGCTGGAGATCACTCTGTCATGCTGATTGAGTTAGAATAACAGACTGGAAGCTTTAAAAGGAGGGTGGTGCTTGAAATCATTGTTCTTCCTCTGTTAACCATGGTTACCTGCAAGGAAACACGTGCCGTCATCATTGCTTTGCACAAAAAGGGCTTCACAGGCAAGGACATTGCTGCTAGTAAGATTGCACCTAAATCAACCTGGATCATCAATAACTTAAAGGAGAGAGGTTCAATTGTTGTGAAGAAGGCGTCAGGGCGCCCAAGAAAGTTCAGCATGCGCCAGGACCGTCTCCTAAAGTTGATTCAGTTGTAGGATCGGGGCACCACCAGTGCAGAGCTTGCTCAGGAATGGCAGCAGGCAGGTGTGAGTGCGTCTGCACGCACAGTGAGGCAAATACTTTTGGAGGATGGCCTGGTGTCAAGAAGGGCAGCAAAGAAGCCACTTCTCTCCAGGAAAAACATCAGGGACAGACTGATATTCTGCAAAAGGTACAGGGATTGGACTGCTGAGCACTGGGGTAAAGTCATTTTCTATGATGAACCCCCTTTCCGATTGTTTGGGGCATCCGGAAAACACCTTGTCCGGAGAAGACAAGGTGAGTGCTACCATCAGTCCTGTGTCATGCCAACAGTAAAGCATCCTGAGACCATTCATGTGTGGGGTTGCTTCTCAGCCAAGGGAGGGGGCTCACTCACAATTTTGCCTAGGAACACAGCCATGAATGGTACCAACACATCCTCCCAACCATCCAAGAACAGTTTGGTGACGACCAATGCCTTTTCAAGCATGATGGAGCACCTTGCCATAAGGCAAAAGTGATAACTAATTGGCTCGGGGAACAAAACATCAACATTTTGGGTCCATGGCCAGGAAACTCCCCAGACCTTAATCCCATTGAGAACTTGTGGTCGATCCTCAAGAGGCGGGTGGACAAACAAAAACCCACAAATTCTGACAAACTCCAAGCGTTGATTATGCAAGAATGGGCTGCCATCAGTCAGGATGTGGCCCAGAAGTTAATTGACAGCATGCCAGGGCGGATTGCAGAGGTCTTGAAAAAGAAGGGTCAACACTGCAAATATTGACTCTTTGCAAATACTTAATGTAATTGTCAATAAAAGCCTTTGACACTTATGGAATGCTTGTAATTATACTTCAGTATACCATAGTAACATCTGACAAAAATATCTCATAACACTGAAGCAGCGAACTTTGTGAAGACCAATACTTGTGTCATTCTCAAAACGTTTGACCACGACTGTATATTGTTCTTTTTTGGGTGTGGTTTTCATATAAGCCCTCTTGTGTTTCAAACCTCACCTGCATACCTTTTTACTTTGTTTTTGTCTGCACTGTTTGTCTTTTTTGGTGCAAATAAATAAATATCAATATAAAACTCATGTTCAGAATAGCTTTATCTGACAAATATGCTAAGCGAATTAAAGATGATTTCATGTACAATTTGGAAATACATATGGGTAACATTATGACATGCAGCTGCCTGTACACTTCATGTCTATAACAATGTCTGAGAATGTCACTGTTTATGCCATATCATATCATATCGAGATCAGATAGAGGTAAGAATAGACAGACTTCGCAATCAGGAGCACAGACGCATACTATAGAAGTGATAAGAGAGGAATATACAGTATATGTCTAGATAGAAGCTCATATGATGGTGGAATCACAAAAACATATCTGTAATGTTGACTGGATCCTCGTGCTTTTCTCAGTCTATTCTTGTGCAATTTCATAGATTAAGCTTGGCTTTGAAAGAGCTCTGGTCCCCATGAATCTTAAGTCTTGCTATTTCACTGTGGATCCCATGACTTATCAGTCTGGATGATCTGTGACTGCAACACAAACTCTCTCTTACCCTTTCCTCTTCTTCCTATCCTTGTCTACTTCCACTTCTTTTGACAGGTGATGGAGACACCAATGACGGATCTACAGAGAGGGAGGGAAGTTGAGTCTAGAGAGGACTTGCACTCTGAAGAGGAGTATATGGAGGAGGCACATTCTGTGGAGAGCAGCCTAATGGCAGCACTAACCCACTCTTGAACCGGATATATGGCTCAAGGACGCATCACTGAGGTGGAACATACCTTTGTCCAGGTGGAGGATAGCATGGACAGTGTGAGGCTGCTCTTTGAGGAGTGCATAGACGTGGGCCGTCTGGAAAGTCGGAGGGGCGAATTGGTATGGGAGCTGTTGCACCTGGAGCAGCTTATTCTGCAGGCTAAGGAGGCTCTGAAGGGACAGTTGTTAGAGGCACGTAGAGTCTTACCAGCATCCAGTTGGAGTATATTAATCTGCAGATAGAGGTGGGACAGGTGAAGAGTAAGCGGTTTGTCATAGCCAGAGACTGTATCCAGAGCCAGCTGGCACTGGCTGCACGACAGTACGAGATGGCCCAGTCCACAGTCACACAGGTAAAGTGGAGTGGAACCCCCACAACATTGCATGTAAGCTTTTGTGAGAAAGTAGTTAATGTACCCTGAGTGAGCGGTAACAGTATGATGGGTGATGACTTTTTCTCAGCATTTTCCTGTGATTGATTTTTTTTAAATGTTCTTGGTCATCCCTTTGATGCGACTTTTCATTGTGTTGACGTGTTATGTTGATGGACGTTACCACAGATTTGTTATCGTTGTGTTAATGGCTGCCTGTCATCTGAGAGTTAATCACACATTGTTTGTATGAGTGTAAACTAGCTTTTATTCATTTTTCTGCCCCTAGGAGGAGCTCCAGGCCCATGTCCAGAGTCTCACCGAGGAGGTTAGCCCAGCTTCTGGAGACATTTACATTTACATTTTAGTCATTTAGCAGACGCTCTTATCCAGAGCGACTTACAGTTAGTGAGTGCATACATGATTTTTGTATTTTTCATACCCCCCGTGGGAATCGAACCCACAACCCCTGCTCTACATCCCTGCCGACCATTCCCTCCCCTACCCTGGATGACGCTGGGCCAACAATTGGAGACCCAGCACAACCAGCTGAACACCCTGAAGGACCGGGCCGTGAGCGATGTCACTGTGCCTCAGTGGCAGCATGAGGAATCTAGAAGGCTGGTTTGAGCCGCGACTGCTAGCCCTGCTCCGGAGGAGGCAGGCTGGGAAGGATACCTTGAGCCAGTAAAGGTGTGATGTAACGGTTCTAATTTCTTCTCATCAGGAGACTGTGGACTCCGTTGACGAGACCATGAGGAAGCTGAAGCTTCATGTTCAGAAAAAGGCAAACAGACAATTGGAAAAATTTTAAGGACTTTTGAGAGTTGGACTTTCACAGGTAGGGTGTGGTATGCTACTGACCATGAGAAGTAGAGAACTAGCAGAGACCATCCATTTTGACCCTTAGGAATGAAGGTTTTCATTGAATACATCAAATTTATATTTTAAGACTGTACCACTTACAGTTGTCTGTATAGATAGGATGACATATACAATTAACATTCCTGGGAGTCTCAAGGTGATTTTATTATTTTCTTACAGGGGCTGTATTGAAGTAAGCAAGACAATTGCTGAAGGGTAATCATAACTTTCCCATGGAAGTACAGGACAGTTGACATAACACCTGGAATATCCACAACCCCTCCAGACCAAACATGTATTGTGTTTGCAAGTGTCCTTGATGGTACATTTAGCCAATAATGTAATCTGCTCTTAATGCATCAACAATGCCAATATTATGATAGTTCGCCTTGGCTGTGAGATCAGCCTGTCTTAACTGTAAACTACACTGTGCATGAAGGGTCTAATGTAAATACAATTTTTATTATGAACACACAAAGCAAAAAGGAATCCAATGCAGATGTGGCATACAAAGACAAAGCAATACAGACACAGGGATGCTAGACATACAAAGGTGATTGGGGAAATCTACAATACAGCTGTTAAGGGAATGAAATGAAAATCTATGTAATTTCTTATGAAATGAAACTGTATAAATAGGTTACTAAGAACAAACACAATGAGCATCATTTAAGATGTTTCCCCCCTACATGTATTTGTTTCACCCTACAAAAATGCCAAACAACCCACTCGTATGCCCTATGTATCTTTTTAAAGACATTTAAATTTTGTGTCCTGTTAAAAAAAAAAAATCTGTTTTGAGGATGTGATCAATGGAGGGGTGTTGTGTGATTGACAGGTTTCACTCATGCCTGGACCTCAGTGTCTGCTGCTCCCTCTGGGTCCTCGTCATTGTAGATGTTCTCAGCCTGGAAGATGGAAAGACATTCTTAGTACTCCTACTAATATATTTAAAAAAGGGGATTCTACATATTATAGTAAGATAATACTAGTAGTACTATGTTAGTGCTTCTGCATCCTTTCAAACCTGTTACTTATGCCTCATGAAATTAATAAATGTAACTATTCTCTATAGCCTCCCACTGTTTAACAGAGCACTGTCTGTCCTGGGGTCTTACCATCTGCCAAACTTCCATGATGTTGTCCTCAGACACAGAGCAGATGACCCAGGGCTCATTGGGGTTCCACGAGAAGTCTGAGATTTTAGCCGTGTGACCACCGTGAATGAACAGCAGTTCAGGTGGACCATCCTCAGCATCCTCTGGTGACTGCTCCTCTCCGATTTTACTGAGGTCCCACACGTTGAGTCGTCTGTCTGTGCCACTGGAGGCCAGGATGGTTTCATTATGAGGAGACCACTGGACCTTAAGGGAGGAAAGGAGCAGAGATAGGTTTGATGCAACTTAGTCATAGATGCACCATCTGGTCCAAAACACACAGCTTGTGCTAAACAAACGTCACAGGGAATAATTGTCAGCTTCATGACTTAACATACCTGGAAGATCTCATCTTTGTGAGACTCAAACGAATGCAGCTTCAGTTTCAGGTTCCTCAGGTCCCAAAGAGCAACAGTCTTAAAATGGGAAAACAGTTACAACCAGTTAAATCCACACTACTGCTTCACTAACTACATTATGAAAGATAATCTTGGAAGCAGTAAGAGATCCAGCCCACCTTATCTGCTGAGCCCGAGGCCAGGATGAACTCGCTGTAAGGGTTGAAGGACAGACAGTTGACCTCTGCAGTGTGGGCGTCCACAGCATGGCTAGGTTTTGACGTATTGTTTGATCGCGTGTCCCAACTGCACAGTAAACACAGTAATCAACAATGTTATTGTTCAATGAGCAAGACCAAACAATGCTGCTGCTGAAGCTCATTCGTGTCATTCAAAGTTAGTTTGTTTTTGTAGGGGAGTTGTTCATCTCATGGAGCCTTACATCATGAGTTTCTGGTCATCAGCTACAGATCCAAAGAGAGACTCATGCAGTAGATGCCAGGAAACGTCCTCCACAACAGCTGTGTGTCCAGTGAAGATGGTCTTAGCGTCCACAACCTTCCCCTCCTTAGGAACGGCACTGATGTCCCACATACAGATAGTCTGCAGACAGGAAACAAGGTGAGAAAGGAAAGACAAGGGAGGAGAGGAGGGAGGAAGAGTGTTCAAGCACTTGCTCTGGGTCAAGTGACAAGTCACAAGTCACTCACATGATCATCAGAAGCACTGAGAAGGCAGCCACTCAGGTTGGGGTTCCAGGAGAGACCGTAGCCCTCCTTCTGGTGTCCCCTCAAACGCAGATCTGGGGTGCACTCTCCAGATGGATCTGTAGTACACAAGTAAGCACGTTATTACAAAACATTTTTAAAGCAGGACTTGGAAATTCCTGGCTATACTGTTTAAATGTGCAGTAAGCAGACCCACCTGGTTTGGAGGGATGTTTGGTGTAGTCAAAGACAAGCACGTCACTGGTTGGGGTTTTGGTGGCGATGATGCAGGGGTTCTGGGGCATGTGGCGGGCTCTGTTCACCTCTCCCTCGTGGTTGATCTTGATTTCAATCTCTATCTTACCGCTGACTGAGCCAAAGCCTCCAAACTCTGAAGGGAGAGAGAGTCAGAGATCAGTGAGCTACAGAGAAAAGGACCAATGTATATCACCACCGGTACAATATTTTGAATGAACCAAAGCCTGAAAACATGTATGCAGAAAGGTTGTAATTGTAACAAAAACATTCTCTCACCACCTTTCTCACTATCATAGTGAGAAGCATCAAACTGTGCGTCGTCATTGGGCAGTTGCACGCTGGCAATGACCAGGTGATTCTGTTCATCTGAGGTGTGTGTGCCAAGAACCAGCCTGTGTACACTGAAATCCTTTCCCTCAGGTCTAAAATTATAGGAAAAAAAAGGTGTTACAAAACATAAATAGATACATTTAAAACAGTTCTCTTATGTAATAGGGGGCATTAGAAACTCAATGTGGTCCACACAAGGATATCTTTGCAACACATATGAGACCAAAAATGATCTTCCTAAAGACACCTTCCCACTCTCAGTAATCTTGCAAAGGCAGTCTTCTGTATCAGCACAAGTATCTGGTATTCATGAAAACTATAGCTAGCTATGTATTCCTATATTGAGATGCAGATAGTTGCTGCATTCAAGACAACTGGGAACTTGGGGGGGTGAAATGAGCTCAGACTGGGAAAAATAGTTTTCAAAGGTCATCCAAATCAGAAACGCTGGTATCTTTCTAGAGCTCTGACTTTCCACCCTGAAGATCACGGTCATAATAATAATAATAATAATAATAATATAAGCCATTTAGCAGACGCTTTTATCCAAAGCGACTTACAGTCATGTGTGCATACATTTTTACGTCATGATTTGACCTCGTTTATTTTCCAAGTTCCCAGTTGTCTTGAAAGCACCAAATGAACCCTACCTGGTGACATCAGGTAGCCACTGTGCTGTGAGGCTGGGCCACTCCAGGGCGTGGGTCATCACCAGGTCATAGAGGAAGGGCGTGTTCTTCTTCCATATCTTGTACTCCTCATTTATCACCCTCTCCTCCACAGCATCATCAAACGCTGCTGTAAAACAGAATGAAAGTCAAGCGAGACAGATTTAAATGTAACTCATATTAGCAGCAACCCATTCAAATGAAATATAGGTGTGACTGAGAAGGGCACTTTAACATTGAGAAAGTGTTAGCTAGTTAGCTAGCTAGCTAGCTAACTAATAGTTACGCCCGTTGAGTAGGGTTTCCCCGATGTTGTTAGCAAACGTACTAACAAATTGAGCAAACGTTCGCTAACTCTTTACACTCCCCCAAACAGGTTGTGTCTCAGACATTAAACAAAGCTTGCCTTTTTAATACATTTTGCTTGCTTGTTTGCTAGCTAGCTAGGTAGCAGGCTAATTTTCTTTGTATACAATTATTAATTAATTATCTTCACGATTGATACGCCGGGAGCCCCCGTCCTTCCTGGCCTACCTTGGTAGCTAGCTTATTCACTTTTGAATGAAATTACCTTCTTTATCAGCCATGGCGTTGATAATATTACACAAGTAGCTATATTTTCAGAAATAGCGTTTCATGAAGAATAAGCACGCAGCCGGGCTACCTTGGCGGGAACTCTGTAGAGGTTAAATAGCCAATCAGCGTCAACTAAACCGGAAGACGTCGTATTTGTATTCTTCAAAGAAAAGGCTCCGACAGGATTCCGGGTTACCGAAACTGTTTCCACTAGATAGAACAGCCACAAAGTGGCTATATCGTAAAAATTCATGAAAACCAAAATTAGCTTTTTGATCTTAATCTAATGGCTAGCGTTAGGCATAAGGTTATCATTGTGGTTAATGTTAGGGTTAAGGTTAGGTTTAAAATCAAATCTTAATAAGATACATTCTAAAAATAGGCGGGGTTTATGACTCTGTGACTGTGGTAACTAGTGACGACCCAGCAAAACGCGATATTTTTTACCCCGCATTATGTTATTTTGGGGATCTTTATTATCCACCTTCACAGTAGGTGGCGAACGCCATTATACCAAAGAAGAAGACGAAGACGAAGACGAAGAAGAAGAAGAACGAGAAGAAGAACGAGATATCTTTGGTACCTGATTGGTCACTACACTGACAATACTTCCTGAAACATACATGTTGTTGCAATAGCAAGTATACGTTTCAGTAGTTTAGGGATCAAATCAACTAAATAAATCACAATGGATGATCGTGAGCTTGATCTTACCGAGTCACAGAAAGATACCAAGTCAAAATACCCGGCGATCAACAAGAAGTATGAATGTGAGTTGCGAACTTGTGTAGATAATCTGTTATGAACATGCTTAACGTTAGCTAGCTTTTGTTTGTTTTGAGATTGTTCACCAGGAAGTACATTAATGGGTTTCTGTTTGCATTTACAATGGAAGAGAATATTTAGTGGAGGAGACAGCTCTACCACCATAAATTGCTTCATTGACACATTGATATTGTAGCTAGACCTAGTAGATGAATACCCTCACAAATTTGATTGAATGTTTACCTTATAGCCCACTCTACTGTATTGTAGTAACATGAGTTGAATAATTGATCTATCTATTCATCTTGTCATTTGGTTTCTCTCTAGATTTGGACCACACTGCTGATGTACAGTAAGTGGACTACCCATGAACCACAGCAACTGCTGCTACTACCCTTAACAGTGGTGGATACACCTTTATTGTGAAATCTACAAAGCCTACCTGATAATGCAGAGCAGCGATCTGTGACTTGACCGTACGGAGTGGCTTCCCACTTGGCACACACTGGTTGAATCAACGTTGTTTTCACGTCATTTCAATGAAATTACATTGAACCAATGTGGAATAGACGTTGAATTAACCTCTGTGCCCAGTGGGTTTGTCTTGCATCTGTCTCATCACTCTTATGTATGTTCCTAGGCTCCACTCTTGGGGAGACTCGCTGGAGGAGGCCTTTGAGCAGTGTGCCATGGCGATGTTTGGGTATATGACAGATACAGAGACAGTGGAGCCCATTGACACAGTAGAAGTGGAGTCAGAAGGTGAAATGGAATAACAGACTGAAAACAGGCATAATACTCATAGGGACAGTACATTTCTGTAGTAGATTATGGGGGACCAGTACGGGGGAAAAAATGTATGCACTCACTACTGTAAGTCGCTCCTGGATAAGAGCGTCTGCTAAATGACTAATGTTATGTAAATGTAATTATGTTTCATATATGGGTCAATATTTTACTTACCATTGCATTCAATACTTCCTTATAATGTCTCTTTGTTTCCTGACCAGGTGATGACATGGAATCTCTTCTTTTCCACTTCCTAGATGACTGGTTATTCAAATTCAGTGCAGATCTTTTCTTTATTCCCAGAGTAAGGGCCTTCAATATATTAATACTAAGTCATGTTAGTCATGTTAGCCAGTGAGGCTACATGGAGCTCGCTCTCTCCTACCCCCATCAATAGATGTATAGCTTTCTTCGTGCCTGTCTGTATAATTGTATGATGTCAAAGGAGCATGCACATAATTCCATTGCAAAAAATGTATTGAGTTGAAACTTCATTACAACTGGAAGATAACATGTCATTACATTTACCACAAGTGTTTATTTATCTTGTATCCCTCCTTACAACACAGTTAATTACCAAAGTGCTATTGTTTGCTTCAAATAGCTCCTACTTCAAATGTAATAAGCTTTGAAAAAATACATCATGGTGGCAACTACCAATTTCATTTAGCAGTTACAATAATAAGGTATTGCCTAACTTAATTTCTGTCTTCTAGGAGGTTAAAGTTTTGCACATTGACAGGATGCACTTCAAAATCCGCTCCATTGGGTAAATTGATCTAAAGTTACACACTTCAGGATTTAGTTTTTACCGTTTTTGCTCACTAGGTTGTACTAATTTATACTCGCATGTGATTGATCATCGACTTTTGATTAAACCGTCTGAGGGGATATGGTGGGTTGGTTTTAGGTTATTTGACATTCTCCTACCCCTGAGAAAGACGAGGGTTGCATGTTATCATTACTTCCTCCCTGAGTTCCTATGCCTGGAGTTCTGGTTCGTTCTCAGCTTCCCTCCATGCCTCACATTCAGTTTTTCTCTGCTGTTGTAGGTGGGGAGAAGAGTTCAACTTGGTCAAGCATCCACAGGTGAGCGAATGGGAGATGCACCTGATATGTTTCACCATCTCTTGACCTGAACTGACCACAGAGAGGTCTCCTGTATGACTCCCTCCTGGCCATAAGCCATAATTACTGTTTATGACCTGATGAAGATTGTTTATCCAACAGAGGTTTTGAGATATGTATTCTGTTACTGAAACATGATACATACATGATGATTAGTAGGCATATCAGACTGTTTTCATTGATTCAGAAAAGGCGTCATTTCTGATTAAAAATGTTTGTATTTTAGTGTTTTTGAAAGTGTCCCTAAACTATGTGTATATTGTCCCTAAAGGGGACAGAAGTGAAGGCCATCACTTACTCAGCCATGCAGATCCATGACATCGACAAGCCCGAGATCTTTGCCATCATTGACATCTGAGGATATTACTACAGAGAAACTGTCCCAGAAGGGAACAGGACAATAGAAACAAACCTCTATGTGCCTGTGTGAATGGACATTTGATTAAGGGCAACAGCATAGGCTTTGAAAATGGACGTGTGAAGTGTAATATTTCCCTGAATTTGAATTGTTTACAGACAGATATCCAGAGAGAAGCAAACATGAGCAGTAGCAGAGTAACTGCTCAAGATACACTACATGACCAAAAGTATGTGGACACCTGCTCGTCGAACATCTCATTCCAAGATAATGGGCATTCATATGGAGTTGGTCCTCCCCCCCCCCCCTTTGCTGCTATAACAGCCTCTACTCTTCTGGAAAGGCGGGAGATAGCCAACAGTTAAGAGCGTTGGAGGATGGGACTAATAACAAATAACAACAAATAATAACAAAGATAGCTAATAATGTAAGCATACTGTGTCCATAATAAGTATATAGGTTGTATGTTGGGAGCTTTTGGGAAAGAGTACAGTTAGAAAGATATGGCATATAAAAGCAAACTGGATGGACATCATGAAAATGATCGGAGAGGTTGAGAGTAGAAGAAGTTCAGGAGCAAAAAAATAAATATATATATATATATATAATATAATTATTGTAAAATTAACTGTGTCCATAAGGTGTAGATAGTAAGTATAGACCGGAAGTAGAGGCCTGGGCATTGTTGTTCACTAATTTACTCCAAGTAGGGAAAGGATGGCGGGGTTGAAAAGTAATAAAGGGGAGTATATATATAAAAAACATGGGGGATTGGAAGTGATGCAGACAATTACATTGATAGAAGATACAATCTATCTGCAATATTAAGCTGATCGGCCAGTAACCGAAATGTTGTTGGTTAGAATCCCCGAGCCGACTAGTTGAAAAGTCTGTCTGTGCCCTTGAGCAAGGCACTTAACCCTAGTTGCCCCTGTAAGTCGCTCTGGATAAGAGCAACTGCTAAATTACAAAAATGTAAAGGCTTTCCACTAGATGTTGGAACATTGCTTCGGGGACTTGCTTCCATTCAGCCACGAGCATTAGTGAGGTCGGGTACTGATGTTGGGCGATTAGGCCTGGCTCGCAGTCGGCTTTCCAGTTCATCCCAAAGGTGTCCGATGGGGTTGAGGTCAGGGCTCTGTGCAGACCAGTCAATTTCTTCCACACAGATCTTGACAAACCATTTCTGTATGGACCTCGCTTTGTGCACGGGGGGCATTGTCATGCTAAAACAGGGAAGGGCCTTCCCCAAACTGTTGCCACAAAGTTGGAAGCACAGAATCGTCTAGAATGTATGCTGTAGCGTTAAGATTTCCCTTCACTGGAACTAAGGGGCCCAGCCCAAACCATTATTCCTCCTCCACCAAACTTTACAGTTGGCACTATGCATTGGGGCAGGTATTGTTCTCCTGGCATCCGCCAAACCCAGATTTGTCTGTCGGACTGCCAGTTGGTGAAGCGTGATTCATCACTCCAGAGAACGCGTTTCCACTGCTCCAGAGTTCAATGGCGGCGAGCTTTACACCACTCCAGCCGACGCTTGGCATTGTGCATGGTGATCTTAGGCTTGTGTGTGGCTACTCGGCCACGGAAACTCATTTCCTGACTAACAGTTCTTGTGCCGACGCTGCTTCCAGAGGCAGTTTGGAACTCGGTAGTGAATGTTGCAACCGAGGACAGACAATTATTACACACTTCAGCACTCACCGGTCCCGTTCTGTGAGCTTGTGTGGCCTACCACTTCACAGCTGAGCCTTTTGTTGCTCCTAGACGTTTCCACTTCACAGTAACAGCACTTACAGTTGATGGGCAGTTCTAGCAACAACTGACTTGTTGGAAAGATGGCGTCCTATGACGGTGCCACGTTGAAAGTCACTGAGCTCTTCAGTAAGGCCATTCTCCTGCCAATGTTTGTCTATGGAGATTACATGGCTGTGTGCTCGATTTTATACATCTGTCAGCAATGGGTGGGGCTGAAATAGCTGAATCCACTCATTTGAAGGGGTGTCCACATACTTTTGTATCCATAGTGTAAGTCACCTGGCTCTTCTCGTAAGTGCTCTGAGCGGTATTGATTGAGGAATGCCAATAATTAAGGTTTTTATTATTATTTTTAAGGATCACAAATTAATCCAAAAAGTATCAAGAGGAGATAGAATCATAAAATATATATATATTACAACGATGGCACAAAATAATGAATGTACTTGTAGGGATTTTAAAAGATTCTTGGCTGAGAGACCGAGCAGGGGTGTTGACATTTTTTGTTGTTGTTGTCATATGTACTGTATTTATACAGCTAGATATTTATTTAAGAATTTCAGGTGCCACACTTCTCAGTGAATAAAAATACATCAAAGGATCCAGGCTGGAATCCACCCCATCACAGGCATGCAGTGGTTCGGCCAAGATGTTTCATACCAATGAATCACCTAACACACTAATGCTTTTTCTGGAAAATAAAGATACCTGAGTGAACAAGTTATTTTGGGTTTATATATTTTTTATTTTGAAATGGTGACTTTCAGGATTATTGTATAATATATACTGAACAAAAATATAAACGCAAAATGTAAAAGTGTTGGTCCCATGTTCCATGAGCTGAAATAAAAGATCCCAGAAATGATCCATATGCACAAAAAGCTTATTTTTCTCAAATGTGCACAAATTTGTTTACATCCCTGTTAGTGAGCATTTCTCCTTGCCAAGATAATCCATCCACCTGACAGCTGTGGCATATCAAGAAGCTGATTAAACAGCATGATCATTACACTGGTGCACCTTGTGCTGAGGACAATAAAAGGTCACTCAAATGTGCAGTTTTGTCACACAACACAATGCTACAGATGTCTCAAGTTTTGAGGGAGCTTGCAATTGGCATGCTGGCTGCAGTAATGTCCACCAGAGCTGTTGCCAGATAATTTAATGTTCATTTCTCTACCATAAGCCGCCTCCAACGTCATTTTAGAGAATTTGGCATTACGTCCAACCGGCCTCACAACCGCAGACCACGTGTAGTCACGCCAGCCCAGGACCTCCACATCCGGCTTCTTCACCTGCGGGATCATCTGCCACCCGGACAGCTGATGAAACGGTTTGTTCAAACTGTCTCAGGTTAGCTCATCTGCGTGTTCGTTGTCCTCACCAGGGTCTTGACCTGACTGCAGTTTGGCGTCGTAACCGACTTCAGTGGGCAAATGCTCACCTTCGATGGCCACTGGCATGCTGGAGAAGTGTGCTCTTCACGGATGAATCCGGGTTTCAACTGTATCGGGCAGATGGCAGACAGCGTGTATGGTGTCATGTGGGTGAGCGGTTTGCCGATGTCAACGTTGTGAAGAGTGCCCCATGGTGGCGGTGGGATTATGGTATGGGCAGGCATAAGCTATGGACAATGAACACAATTGCATTTTATCGATGGCAATTTGAATGCACAGAGAAACAGTGACGAGATCCTGAGGCCCATTGTCGTGCCATTCATCTTCCGCCATCACCTCATATTTCAGCATGATAAAGCAAGGACCCATGTTGCAAGGACCTGTACACAATTCCTGGAAGCTGAAAATGTTCCAGTGGCCTGTATACTCACCAGACGTCACCCATTGAGCATGTTTGGGATGCTCTGGATCGACATGTACGACAGCGTGTTCCAGTTCCCGCCAATATCCATCATTTTCGCACAGCCATTGATGAGGAGTGGGACAACATTCCACAGGCCACAATCAATAGCCTGATCAACCTTTTTGTTTTTTTGTATCTGTGACCAACAGATGCATATCTTTATTCCCAGTCATGTGAAATCCATAGATTAGGGCCTAATTAATTTATTTCAGTTGACCTAATTCCTTATATGAACTGTAACTCAGTAAAATCTTTTAAATTGTTGCATGTTCCATTTATATTTTTGTTCAGTGTAAATAAAACAAAACGTATTACAGCAACAGTGGGGGGGTTATTTCTTTTGAATAGTGTTATTGTAAAGAGAACAGCCCACGTAATCTCTCAAAAATGTACTGTTAGTGTCGTAACATGAGTCTTGTCGCCTCTTCCCATGGATCGACCTCTGTGTAGTGGGGTAGCTCCTGTCCTGCAGGGCCCTCCCAATGTACTTCTGGTTCTGGGTAGCCTTCGCTCTCATACACCACAGTGACATTATTGGGATTGACATGTATGCTCAAACTGACTTTTATCAATGCTGCCAATTCAGTTTGTTTCAGGAATATGAGGCTGATCCAAAAGGTTCAATCATCTATTGTGTCCACCATATATAATAATAATATGCCATTTAGCAGACGCTTTGATCCAAAGCAACTTACAGTCATGTGTGCATACATTTTTACGTATGGGTGGTCCCGGGGATCGAACCCACTACCCTGGCGTTACAAGCGCCATGCTCTACCAATTGAGCTACAGAGGACCATATCACATGTATAAATCATTACCGTTTACCAGCGCACCTGCATACTCCAGCCGTACCTGGGCTTTGCCGGTTCCCTTCAGATTGGCCGATATCTGTGCTCAGTTAGCAGTGTCCTATGGTTCGACCTCCAGGATCCTCAGAGAGGCGTTTCCCCCCCTGCAGCTCAGAGAGATAGAGGGCTGTCCTACTCCAGTATTCTGGGCTCTATCACTCCAGTTGATTCTGGCTGTAGTAGAAGCTGTGGAGCACACTGGAATCCTCCACCCTCTGCCATGTGACCACCAGGCCTTCCTGGGCATAGCTGGGATCAGGGATGAACCTGCACCCCAAAACCACAGGCATCCCTCGCACTGCAACCAGTTGCCCAGTGGGGTCCGTCACTTCAAAAAATGCTGGAAGAATACAATAGGGTTCACCAACTCCAACTGCAGTATGTGATATACAGGGAGCTATCCCTTGGGCCCAGAGTTTTTCCTAAACATGCTCCAGGCCATAGACATCACCACAATGACCAGATTTCCAAAACAGCTTTTTTTGCGGTTGAGGAGGGGTAAAGTTATGTCTGAGCTTGCCATGTCTA